GATCGGGTCGTTACATAATGTAAGTGGGGCTACAGCATCCATAGAATAATTATTTCGTTATTGAAATTGTTCACTGCTCAATCTACATCCTTACAAGTGAACTTTGATTAAATATACATTTTTTCATTTAATACGGAAAAAATTACAATTCATATTATAATTTACATGTATTTCTTCTAATATTTCAAAAATTAGTCCTATTCAATTCTACAAAATTGGTCAAAGCTGACTACGATATGGTAATAAAAGTGCCATTTTAGAAGTTCCAAATACAATTACTAGAATGTATTAATTTAGGCGAAATGACCTCCTGGCCACTTAAAACTTGCAATCAATTGCCAACCCGGTAAACAAACTTATAATATTTCCATTTGAATAGTTTAATTTGACGGAATAAATACTAATAAATCACTTTGACCGTTGACTGTTCTTATGCGGTAGTGACATAAGTAATTTGGAAAAAATACGTCACAATCACGCAACAAAAAAATGCATGAGTTCAATATTTTGATTTAAGAAATACTAAAATCAAAAGGAAATATTAAAAAAAGAAAAAGAGAAGGGAAAGAGCACCCCGAGGCCCATCACTACTCGCCTCTCCTCTCTTCTTCTTTTCATCAGAAATCCCTCCAGTTATCTCCCGTCACTCCACCCTATTTTTTATCCAGCTTCTTCTCATTATCTTTCAAATCATTCTCATTTCGTTTTCTTATTCTTTCTCAAATATAGTGAGTGGTTTGAGTAAAGAAATTCTACAAATTTTGGACTTAAGCGAGGAGAAAGAGCAATTGGGAGTTTTCCGGCCATATACGATCTGAAGGTGTGTGGTTTTACTTATCTCTTATGATTTGGGACTTTCTAAAAATAAAAAAAATCGTTATATGGTTGGTTGTCGGCGATGGCAGCCATTTGAACAGGAGATGGCAGCCAATTAGGGTTTTTTTGGTGGTAAAAAATACTATTCCTAATTGAATTTAACAAAAATAAGAAGAGAAGTAGAAAAGGGATGAAGAAAGCTGGCTAATTTCTTGATTTGGGTTTGGTCAGAGGCTTTTCCGACAGTATCTTCTTTTACTGTTTTTAAGGGTGGGGAGGGGTGGGGGGAGGTGTTTGAGTGGAGAAGAAAGTAAAAAATAAAATATAAAATGAAATTTTCATAAATTAATTTTAAAAGTGGGACCCACAAATAACACATGTCAAGCAATAAATAGTCTAGCGTATGATGTGTTTGACATGTCAGTGTAATTGATATACACGCTCAGTTTAATATGTGTATTATTATTCATTTCGTCAAGTTAAGGTGTTCAAATGAGAAAATTGTAAGTTTGTTTACTAGGTTGATAATCGGGTGCAAGTTTAAGTTGCCAGGAGGCCATTTTGCCTTAGTTTTATCTTACGGATTAAATTGGTACAACTAACATAAGGGTGACAAGTGAGCCGGACCCGGGACCGGCCCGGGACCACGGGCCAAACGAGCTATGTGGGCTAAGTGGGCCGGAACAGGTAGGATTGCTAGAGGGGGGCCAGGGCCAGTTTCGTGGCCCGTTTCTTGGCTTTGAACTGTTAGGATCGGGATCGTTTGGCCCGCCAAGGGATCGGGACCGGACCGGACCGATCTTTCGGCAGGCCAAACGGACCCAACGGTAATTTTTTAAAATTTTTTATAGCCGTTGGCTATTTTAAAAAACAGTCGTTGGCTATTTAG